GACGACACATGAGTAGGGCGAACATAGGCAATATACATTTGATCGTTCTCTTTGTGCTTGCGCCACTTTTTGCAGAACTGCATGGCATTGAGAAAAGTCATTGGGGACTCTTGCTTCTCATCCAAGAGGACGGGAAGCTTGTTCGATCGGGATTGCAACCAGCCCAATCCAAGGATTGTGTCGAAGGGACACTTGTCAAGGACATAGAAGTTCAGGGCGTGGGTGACTGTTTTGTCCTTGTCAAAGGTAGTGCGCACACCTTTGACTGCATGCGTACATGAGACAGCTTCCTTGTTGCCTACTTGAGTTCGACAAGGGCTCTGCAAAGCCACTTTCTTCATCCCCAAACCCACTTTGCGCATCCCATGTGGTGACATAAAGGTAGTTGTCGCACCACAATCAATCAGGACATAGAGATAGCGGTGGTTTATGAGAAGCTTGAAGAAGATTAACTTCACTGTGCCTTGAGCACTGTCCCTTGAGCACTGTCCCTTGAGCACGGTGATAGTGGAAGTCAACCGTCTCAGACTCCTCCCAAGGCTCAACATACAAAACATGACAAACTTTAACTTTGGAATCAGCAGATGACGGGTCTTCAAAAAAGGATTGTTGAATTAGATCAGATTCAGTCTCCCTTGCCGTAGAGGGTGTTGATGCCAACTCTACGCTCGAGTCTGCTTTCCCTGCAGCCTATAGCAATCTTGCACTTTATGGTTCGTTTTCAGGCAATGCAGGCAACCCCCCTTCTTCATTCTAGCTTTCCATTTAGCCTCACTGATCCGGAGGTCCACCCAAGGTTTAGTGCTTGCATCCTCCAGTTTGGCTGCGATTTTGGCTCCCTTTGGAAGTGCGACAAAGCTCCTTACTGAATTCCTGTTCTGGTTTCGCTTCCCATGGGCAGTCTTTTCAAAGGCACAAAATTTATCCTCTTCATTGTTTATGTCATTTTCTTGAGCTGAAGAGCAGGCTGTATTAGCGTCCTGTTCTTGGCCGTCGCCAAGAGTGGGGTCATCTGCGTTGGCCTCCCTTCCCCTTCTAGCAAGTCAAGCGAAGCTAAGCGATTGCTGCCACGAAATCGTCCGTGAACAAAGGTCTTTTTGGTGCTTGCTGCGGTAAGGAGGTCTCGTGCCGCCAGACTGACTACATCCTTCATTAAGGAAAACTAGTCAGTGTAACCGAAGAAATCCCTGCCTAGGCGATTAGTTAAGTGAGTGGGAACCATACCCTTGACTACATCCAAGCACGATTGCGCAGTCAGCTCCAATCCTTGCGTTGCGAAGAGCTTGCTAACATGCAATTGCAGTTTGTGCATGGTGCCCTGCCACTTGCAGCGCTTAAGTTCATCCAATTGTACCGTTACACTTGCTGCAACATGCGGGTCTTTATATTGCACTACTTATATTTCCTCGAGAGTGGTAGCCGGAGTAATTTTAAGCCACTCGGATAAGTTGATCTTGGAATACCCAGCTTGCATGGCTTGGACTTCAAGGAAGCCCCTTACGACAGGCTCAACGTTCGTCCCCAGGATCAAGGACTGGTTCACTCTTTGAGTGCCCTGTACCTCAAAGTAGGTCTCATGGAGCCGATCCAGGACTCTATGTCCTCCTTGCCGTCATATCGAGATGGTATCATCACCACCTTCCTGTCCATGTATGGACTGCCATAGCTGGGTCCAACTATTGTTGCTGGATCCGATCCCAAGGCGGCGACAGTTGCAAAACTTCCTGCGCTGCCGTTTGTAATGGCAGTGGGAACTGCACCTGTCGTAGGTCCTGACTGAATCACCAAACTCAACGAAGAAGACTGAGAAGAAGGAGAGGAGTGGAGGGGTGCGAAGGTAGAACGAGGAAGATAACTTGAGAGTTCGGCCTGATGCATGACTGCCATTTGCTGGATCTGATCGCGGTGCTCTTTGGCCATCTCTGCCGTTTGAGCACGCATCTGACTCATTTCTTCGAGTAACTGGGACTCGACACTTGGAAGTTCGCCGAGCAAATGGGAATCAACAAGGGCACGTGCATACACAACCAGATGTTTTTAAGGTTTGCATCAGATACATTTGGAACCGTTTTAAAAGTGACCTCAAGTTCATCAGCGGTTGTGTTCCGCTTTGCCTCTTCCGCCTTCTCCGCCTCAGCCAACTCGTTCTGATAGAGGGCCTCATACAGTGGTTTATCAACCTCACTTGTTGCATCCATGCGAGCCTTTTACATATCGGAAAGTTTGGCTGGTGCCATGTCGGAACCACTAGCTCCTTTGGTTGCTATGGCTTCTCTCACCCTTCTCTCTTGTCTGCACGTCTCAACGGGCATGTAGTGGATTTCAGCAAAAGCAACAAACTGAAAGTACAGAGAGAAGATAGAACTCCTAGCCACAACGGATAATATTTGGACTAGAGAAACAAAAAATCAAAGACATACATTACATTCATTAGGGAATTCAGATTCCGCGTTCAAGTCCGGTTAGACTAAGTACAAGACCCCCTTGAGCCTAATCCAACTGGCACAGTCAAAGTACAACAAACCAGACTACAAGAAACATCATACAGCAATGGAGAATTGAGTGGTGTATAAGGTGCAGGTCAAGCATTGGATTGTGTGTCATTAGTCTGACAAAGCATCTTAGTGGAGATCCCCTCGGCAGCGAGGACTCTAATCAAAAAGAAGAATACCGTATCCCAGACAGAACAGAGAGCGACACTATGTCAACAGATTTGAGTCCAAGGGGCCCTTCTTGTTTGGGCCTGGTCCCACTGGGTCCCAAGTAGGTCGCGACCAAGTCCCAATCCCAAGCAGGTCGCGACCAAGTCCCAATCCCAAGCAGGTCGCGACCAAGTCCCAACCAAGGAGAGTACCTCAAGGTCCTGCTTTCTGCCTCTACCATACTGAAAAACGAATTTGAACTCCAAGAGAGAACCTACAGACTATACCATTCTCAGATGAAAAGACAAAGCATTGTAGAAAGATATGGCTTTTCAAGCAAGATACTTCATTTCTACATCCATCAGGTTAGTAAGCAGTTCGCAGACCAATGCACACAACCAAGACTTCAGAGGAGTAGGAAAGAGGCCTACAAGTACCCCAGCAGGACAAACAATACCATGCACACATACATGGGCAACCCTTAAGTGCACGACACTTACCTGAGTGGCCCGGACTCTGAGATGAAGTATAACTCACCCCCCTTCATCATGTGGTCTTCCTAACCCTATTTGCTACCTCTACACTAGTGTCCTATCATGTAGGAGGGTCTCACTTCCAACACCAAAGTGTTACGCCGGATCCCCCGCCGATGCTGAAGAACAAAGCAGTAACTTGCAGTCCGTAGATGCAAAATGGCTACCTCCCTCAAGATCGCCTACTTGAGGGAGGCCCTCAAGTCACCAAGTGTCTCCGTTAGGTCAGTCAGATTCCAGGTGTGAGTGCCTCTCACTGTCGCCTCTCTCAACTTGTCGCATGAAGTCCTTTTGATGTGTCTCGCCACCACATACTCACTCTCAATCTACCTGGTCAGGTTCAATGCCGACCTAGCATGACCTAACCAGGTGGGGGCAGCTTCCCTAAGCCTTGTTCCCTCACTTCCCACTTCGGACCAACCCTAACCCTAAGTGGTTAGCCCTTACCACTTAGGTTAGGGTTAGGGTGGATAAAGTAAACTCTCACCAGCAAGTAGAATCCACTCTGATACCAATGTTATGATCCTGGCCAATTTCGAAGTACACATTCATCAGATAGTACAATGCCGTCCAATTGCGGAGTGAAATGAATGAACTTGAGAGGAGAAAGAGGGTAAGAAGAAGAAGAAGAAGAAAGAAAGAAGTAAGAAAGAAGAAGAAGATGATGTACCCAGCATAGACAAATGATAAAGCTCTTCTTCGCCAAACACTCTCCTCCTCCTTTACTCCTCTCTTATTCACACAAGAAATAATAGTACAATGTTGAATGGCTGAACCAGAATCAATGTCCGAATCCCTCTTCTACTGCCGGTATCATTTGAGGTCCACCATAGCCATGGCCGCCTCCCTCACCCTTCACTCTCATAGGCTGAGGCTATGGTGGACTACTAGGCCTTGCCCTGATGCCCAAAGGACAACCCAAAGCAGCTATGGCTGCTCTAGCACAGGGCGCCATGCTTGACTCTGCCTCAAAGCTTCCTGGTCTAGCTCTGCCCCAATGGGGACCTTCCTGCTGCAGCGCCCACCAAGGTGATGAAGATGGCTGCCACCATAGCCAGGTAAGTACCTCTGGCGCTCCCCCTTCCTCCTGGTCTTCTTCCTCCTCCGTTTCCTTGCTCCTTCCCCAGCAGCGCTCCAACCAGTGTGTCGCCAAACTGGCACACTGACAATGAGACTGGGCTCTTCGCCCGGCCTGGAGATGTAGCGGCCTGCTTGCCTCTTGGGCGGTGACTTCCAGGCCGCTCGGCCTTCCGAGCAAACGGTACCTCCTCCCTTTCGGAATGAAACATCATTGCAGACTCTGATATTGCCCGTGCAGGCCCTAGACTCAGACTGGTTGGACTGGTACCCGCCTATACCTAGCCTACAACTACTGGGCCTCTCAAAATGCCACTTTTGTCTTCTTCTGCTCGGCCTCCAGTACCCGCACATCTACCTCTTCAGGGTGCGGTACCGGCCTACCTGCTGCTTGAGTGTTTTCCCCAGCTGCAATCCTCAATGTCACGGCCACAGGTAAGTACCGGACCTGAGGGCCCAATGAATGAACAATTGCCCTTGCGGGTCACACACACACTTAAGCCAACCAGCACTCAGACAGTCATGCAGACCAGCAAGTGTGCACACACACACAGACATGCAGACCAGCAAGCGTGTACGCACACAGACTTAGAGAACTTAGTAGCAAGCGGGAAACTCAGGAAGGCATCCAGTCCATGAGCAAAACTCAGAAATCAACTGTGTGTCTCAGTCCGTGTTTGGCCGGGTCATCACACCGTAGAGTTCAATGTATGGTTGCTGATCGATGAGCTTTTGTTGTTTTCCACAGGTCGTACACCAAAAAATCCACAGCGACGAGAGACCCCTTACGTGCCCTTGGGAAGGATGCGGGAAGACATTCAAGTGGCCAAATTCTCTTCATGGGCACATGCGGACGCATACAGGCGAGAAACCGTTCAAATGCATGTGAGAGTCAGACCCAACCCTTGCCCGGTCGTTCCACGCGAGCCGTCTTGACAGTGAGTGAACTCTTCTGGGCTGTTCTTTGCTGGCGCGCTTGTAGCCGTAAAGTCTTGCTTCCTCTGTTACTATCTTTGCCCCTCTATTTTGATAGAACACGTCCTTGCCGGTGATAAGCAACCGGACTGCTGCCCCCCAGAATACATGGGGCTTACAAAAAAAAAAAAAAAAAAAAAAAAGAAGAAGAAGAAGAAGACATGGAATCTCAGTGTCTGGGAAGCAGTCCGTAAGCGTACGTATTCCCGCGTACGCATACAAACCAAAAATCGCGCGTAAGCGTACCTTTAAAAAAAAATAAAAACTGGAAAAACTTCAAAAAAGTATGTTGTGGAGAATAAGAATACAAACGACTTTTGCCTGGGAATCGTACCCGAATTCCCAACAAAGTGCAACGAAAATGAGCAATAGCGAGATGACTATATCCAGATTGCACAATCACATTGAAAGCCAGAAAGTATCAGTGTCCAGAAAGCAGCATTGCACCAATATAACACCAATGGAGAATCGTAACACTGAAAACCGAATGTCAATGAGAGCTTGCTCTCGCCACCACCAACATAAGTGTCCAGGCCCTTCTCCCTACTTGGCGCTCGGCGCTCAGCCTACTCCCTACACAGCTACTATCTGCCTACTAATTGACAATGCAACTGTTGATGTTAGCAGCCAACGAAGTACTTGAAGGTGTCGACCACTGCAGACCATCGCCAATACCAGGTATGTGCCCTCACATCATCATCATCATCATCATCCTTCTCTCTCTCCCTCGACTTTCACCCACGTCTTCCTTCTGTTCACCCGAAGACCACCCCTGCGCCATACTGTAGTCCAAGCCCCGGTCAGCTATGGAGGCTGGGCTATGGCGCTGCCCTCAGGAGCGCCCTTCTTCTCGCACGACTGCAAGCGCACAGCACCTTGCCCTTAGCGCACAGCAGCACGCGAGCCTGCGCTCCAGCAGCGCTGCCGCACAAACTGGCAACTGCCTCAATGAGCCTCCAGGCAGTGAGCTCTTTCCTATATGGAAAGAGTCTGCCTGCCCCGGCGGCCTGGCTGGGCTGGGGCTGGGCCTGTGCCCAGAAGCTTCCGGTAGGCCCCAGGAGGATGTGCCTCTGCTGCAGCTGCTGGGGCTCATTCGGTTAGGCTCTCCAACTGTCTGTGTATGTTGCTGTGATTCCACCCAGGGCCTGCATTTTAGAAAAGGCCTGGAAGGCCGAAGAAGTCTTTGCTGCTCGGGCCTGGGTTCCCTCAACCAACTGGCGCGACACAACTGCCTGTACGCCAAATACGATATTGGCAGCAATGGGCCTCTCGTGATTTGTTAGGCCCGCCTTCACTTAGGGCGGGCACATCTGTATCAGGGCCCCTTAGTCCTGCTGAGGAACCAAATCCTCGCACAAGCTTGATTTAACAAACAAAAACCTTAAACCACCACTACCTCCGATCCTGTTTTTGCCGAGCCTGATTTTCACTGCGCACCGAGTTTTGCCAAGCAGGGGCAGTTTTGTCCAAGAAGGAACAAGGAAACAAAAAAAAAGAAGACAAAAAAAACAAAAAAACATGGTAACCCCGGACCCGGACACCGGACACTTCCGGACTGTCTTCCTGACCAGTGTCTGGACCGGTCCGAACTGTCTGGTGATCCGGACACCCGGACATCACCGGACCCGGACAGTCCGGACCGGTACCAGGGGTGCACGAATGTCCGGACCGAAAAAAGAAAAAAAAAAACGGGGTGGGGGGGGTTGGATAGGGGTGTTGGCAGGCACTTACCTGCTCTGGACTTTGTAGTTCAGGCAGCAGAGCACGTTTCTTGCAGCAAATCAACAAGCACATTTAACTTGCAGACATGCAGAGTTGCAAACAGTGCAAAGCACGCACGAGACTAGAGAAACAGATCATTTTTTGTTGAAAAAGTATGATTACCTTTGAATACACAACTTAAAAGTTCAAACTTTGCAGTTCAATTCAGAACGTCAGAGTCTTCAGACTAGCACTGTCAGTGCTCTCTTTCTCTCTCTCTCTCTCTCTCTCTCTCTCTCTCTCTCTCTCTCTCTCTCTCTCTCTCTCTCTCTCTCTCCCCAACAGGCAGCAGCGGCGCGCGCCTTGAAATTGCTCGGGCCTGTGTGAAACCCGCCACCCCAGAAACCTGCAGTGTCTTGTGTCCGGACCTGTAGGCCCTGTACGGTGGGGTGAAATGACACTGAAAAATCACCCCGTTATTTTTCGAGGGGCGGCCAGGACCCGATAAACGTCCTGGGCCGCCCCCTTTTTATTTTTGATTTTCTCCCCAGGGGCCTCCATCCGGACATCAGGACCAGACACCGGACAACGGACAACGGACTGTCTGGAACCCGGTCCGGACGTCCGGACGGTTACCATGCAAAAAAACCTTCCACAACGCCACAGTAACCACCAGATACATTCTAAGAGGTGCTCGTGTGACTGTGCCCTCAGTGAGGGCGTGCAGCAGACAAACAACGGAAAAAAAAACAAGAAAAAGCAAAACTCCCTTATGCTGTGATTGAGGGCGGATACAGGATCCTACAGCAGCATTCAGACAGTTACGTGCCACCCGTGAAATACGCCCTGCCTGGCTGGCAGGGCACTACAACAACATGAAACCAAAAACAAAAACAAAAACAAAAGCAAACTACAACCCCACATAGTGGCCAGATACATTCCTCAAAGCACTGGTCTTGCGTGCCACACTCGTGAGGCCTTCCCCGACGTCCCTGGTTTCAGAACTCCTTGTTTTTCCCTTTTTTTTGTTTTTTTCAATTTTTTTTCGTCAGCCTCCAACCCTGCCCCGAGCCCCGTGTTTTCAGGAGTAGGGTACTAGATGGACTTCGCGTTTAGTTTTTCAATTATTAATGATAATATTACCTTTTTTTTGTTTTTGACTTTTTACTCCAGTTTGGTGGGAATTCGGGGATGACTCACAGGCAAAAGTTGTTTCCTGTTTTAGGTTATGTGTTTTGTAGGATTTCATTTTTCGTGTAGGATTTTCTTTTTCACGATTTCATTTGTGTATTTTGAAGGATTTCTCTTCCTCTTTTGCTATTTGCCGTTTTAGTTATTCCCTTTTCGATGTGTGCCGCTGTGTCTCCTTTTTATGGCTCCTGGGTATTTGGGGCATTGACATGCCTGTTCCTGGGTTAATGTTCGCGTCTAGTTAGATATACCTTGCTCAAGCAAAATGGCTTCTGCTTTCATAGGTGGGCAACCCTACTTTTCTCTGTTGCTGCTGCTGAGTTCGATGCTTGGTGGGTATGATGTTGGGTTGAACTACGAACACATTGGAAATAAGATAGGTGGGCGACCCTAATTTGTTCTGTCGCCGGCGTTTCGTTCGCGGTGGGGTAACGACATGGGAGTACTTCGTTTCTCCGGACAGGTTGTGCTTGGTGCCATGAATTGATGTGTAGTGTGTTTTGGCTAGTGTATAATAGGAATTTTCGTTATGCAATCAAACTCGCTTTCATTCACACTTCTTATGCATGCAAACTGTGGCACAGCAAACTGGCGACAAGCGCCCACACCAGTGTTGCACACCCCGACCGTCGGCGACCCTTGACTGGTCGGCTGCCGACCCGCCGACCGGTCGGCTGGTCGGCACCTACTGGTCGGGGGTCGTCGGCACCCCACATTTTTTTTAAAATTTTTTATGGGGTCCAGAACCCCTAATAATATCACCAACACCCCCATAGCGAGCCCCAATACCCCATATACCACCCCAACAACCCTGAACAGCCGCCAACACCCTTATTAAACTATCCATAACCCCCTATATCACCCCTATACTCCGGCGCATCGCGTGCGGGCGAGCTACGCACGTGTGGCGCCTAGTGCACACGCAACCATGCGTGTGCACCCCAATAAATAGAGTAAAAAAAAATTTCGAGAGGGCTGGCTGAGGTAGCCAATGGTGCCCCTCCCTTCTAAAATGTCGAAGGGCACAGAAAAAAAAATTGAGCACACGTTTTCCTTGTTGAATTGTCGTTTTCTCGAAGGACCCCAGTGCATCTGCAAAGGTCCNACCAGACAGAATGAGGTGAGATATCATACACAGACGAAGAGGGAGGAGGGAGAAGAGACAAAGGAGAGGAAGTAATATGCCCACTCCTGCTTCGGGCTCCCTTCTCTACTGCCACCTCATCAATCAATAGTCTGAACAAGTATCCGAGTATCCTCAATGTGCCACATGGCACGACTAATCAGTTCCACATCAGCATCTAGAGCAATGTCGACATGAAGACCACCAGGTACGTATCCTCAAACTCCCCCAAAGCCTGATCTCCTCCTGAAGTGACGACGAAACAGAACAGCAATACCGAATATGTAGTCCCAGTCACAGAACACGTGGACAGCAGCCAGGTCAGCATGATACACGTGGCAGCAGCCACATCAGCGAAGGTGCATGGCAGCTGCCACGTCAGCAGGCCAAGAAGACAGGAGCAAACTGGCCACCATGCCGGAATAGCAGCACCTCGCCAAGTCACAATGCCAGCAGCGTCGAGCCAGCGTCGCAGCGTCAAGCCAGCGTCGAAGTCAATGCGTGAAGTCAGCATCAACGCAAGACAGAATGAATGTCAAAGCCAGGAAGTCAACTCTTATGTAGTGTTGACGCGGGGTCTGGACCCCGGCTGCTGTATCCCTCGGCCGTCCAGATCTCAATGCGAATGAGGGCTCAGATCGGCCTGAAACCGAATTCCCTCTGGCCTGGATGCAGTCTGGGTACCTGCGCACAACAAGTGAGTGTATCCAACCCGGGGCCTGGGTGCAGTACCTTGACTCTACAGTTGACTTTGACTCTTGAATTTCCTATGTGCAGCGTTCGGTCACACAGCCACACTCGACAGACTCAGGCCTGGGCGTGTCTTGGTCACACAGCCCAGCGCAGACTTTCTCAGGTCTGCGTGGCCTGGGGCTGAGTTCTGGGCCCCAGGCTA